GTTTTTAGTTATTTCTTACTTTGGATTTGTACATGTTCTTTGTTGATATTCAACACCTAAACCACACGTATGGGAACATGAACTCCAAGGTGTCCATGGACTCCAACCACCATTTATTGGTGGAGTTTCTTCTCGATAATTCATCGGCGTACATCGACCATATAAACACCACTAAAATAATCTCAGTAATTCTTAAGAAAGAATTTATTGTCTTTTTTTTTGGTTACTTTATTCGGACCACATAAAGTTCCATCAGCTGGTTGATTAGTCATTGATGATACACATACCGATCGATTTTCATGTATTTTTGTACACATGATTTGATGACATACATCCTAATTCAATATAAAAACATTAAAAATTCGAAAATAAATTGATTTACAATAGGTGGTTCATCTCCAAGAAAACAATAAGTCGAATGTGGTCCCAGAGCAAGACGACATTGTTCATCAAGATCAAATATAATACCAGGTAATATATTATCAAATGGTTGACTAATTGTTGGTTTATTATTAAGACATTTTGCCCAACCTTGACTAGATTAATTTAGAAAACAAAAAGAATTTCATTTCAATATATTTCTTTCTTTTTTTGATTTACTCGAAATAATCTGTGAGATTATCACGACTACATTTCGACCACATATGTATTGGTACTCTAGAATAACTTGGAACCATTATTGTATCACTATTTGATACACCTGAATTCAACATACAATGATCTTTCTTATCATCATGACTCATTCCAAGACTATATTAATAATAAATCATTTAAATATATATATTGAAGAAAAATAAATTACTTATGTCCTATTTCATGTGCAATAGTAAAAGCTGAAATAAGACCAAGATCTTGATTTATATTACAACTTCGATTGATCATACACATGCCAGCCATATGAGCAAGACCAATTGTTGAACAAGTTGAATTTTCATGACATAATGATCTTCTAAACATATAACGAAAAGAATTATCATAGAAATCTTTTTGTTGAATTAAATAATACCGTGTAAGAAAAACTCCAACATCATGATGAATAGTTCGATTTTTTTTATTTGCTTTTTTTAATTGTTCCTGCCATTCACAAAATTTATTTAATGTTTCATGTGATTTAGATTCCATTTGAAAATCAGACTAAAAATAGACAAATAGAAGAGGTTCAAAAGAACATGTTTTTTCATCTACTTGATTACTAAGCATTATTATTCGTGTAAGAACAATTTCAACAGGATAACCAAGACTAACATGTGCATATATATTATTAACCATATTCATCATTGTAAGTAAATATAATTCTGTAATATGTGAATGAGAAAAAAATTCAGTAACACTTGCATCAGCAACAAGTAATGTTTCAATAAAACGTTCACGAATAACTGAACGACGTTTTCGATTCGTTTTCTTAATCCTATAATTTGTATTTCTTGATGAATTAACCTCACATGACCAAATATGATGTTGATTTGAAAGAATTTTACGTTGATAAGTAAGAATATATGATTGTTCGTCATCATCAATAATTGGTTCTAAAAAATAATCAATACCATCTTGTGTATGGTGAATTAAACCCGTCTAGAATTATCAAAATAGCTTTTTTTTACGAATTAAAATATGAGTGAACTTACTAAACTACGACAAATAGAAATAGCAATCATAGAATTTGATTCTCCCCAATGTCGTACTGATCCTTTATAAAATAAACAGCCTGATGTTTGAGTCTTAATTTCAATATTATCATATTCAATATGAATATGTCGATTAAATTTTTTATTTAATTTAAGATCGAGAATAAATGATGTTGAAGTTTCATTGGAATTTTGTCGATAAATCATATAAGATAGATGTTTATGTCTATTTTTCAATTGTCCATCATCAATTGGTATTACTTTTACTTTTTCAACAATCCAATCATTACTTGTCAATGCTAATTCTTTAGAAAAATAACAACAAAAAACAATTATTTTGGATCATTTCATTAACAATTTCTTCTTATACCTGATGATCGAAATAATGAAGATATATTTGCATTCGATGACCATATAAAAAATACAAGAAACACTATGCACAACATGCTCTTTTTTCTACTCACTGCTCTGTCTATAGTTTGAACTATTGAACACAGCAAATCATACATATACTCTCAAGAGAAATACGTTACTAGATTATTTTTTTTTAATCATATTTATTCATTATTATAATATATATATATATATATATATAAGCAAATACAAAAAATCGACTCGATTAGACATATGTGGTATTACATGTAATCGAATTTGATGATGACATCGAACGTTGTCTTGACTCTGTACTGGAACAATCTATATAGACGACTTGATCTGCAGAATGATTATATAATAAAAGTTCATTTTCAGGCCAGTTACTTATCTATTTGTATTAAAAAAAGATAAATATAGAAAAATAAAACATTACACAGTGGCTTACAAGTCGTCGTAATGAGCATATTCCATCGATAATACTAAAACAAATAGAAATATTAAAACAACTATAAGCATAGCCCATTGGTAATCCATTAGCATATACCGATACCCATATACCAGATATAATTAAACAATCAGTTAGTATAAAGGTTAAAAAAAAGCATAGCATTTCTAGAAAAAAACGAGATCTTATTTTAAAAGTATCTTCATATATATAATTTGTTTTTTTTACCCAATATTATTTTTATACTTGTTGCTTTATCAACATAAGAATAAAGCAAAACAACATTAATAAGTTCACCATTGAAACTGATGACAGATAGAAAACAAGTAATTTCAATTAAACGTATTGGATCAATATTCTGTAATGTGCATGCATGTACAGAACATCGTTCTCTAAAGCCTAAATGACATTATAAATATATATATATGTAAATAATTCTTATTTGATTTACCTGCATAAAGATCTGGTGATATAGGATCTATTGCCCAATGGCCAGAGAAAAATGTGATTAGTAAACCAATAAGAACAATAAATTTACATGCTATAATAATGTTCGATAAGCAAAAGGAAGGATGATCATCGAAATGAATGCGGAATTGGTTTGACCGTTTTATTATTGAATGTGATTGTTGTTTAGAAGTCGACATTTTATTGTTTATAAAGGAATATTTTAAACTAAAACTATTTATGTTAAAATTGTATGCCCATGACAGATGATAAATATGAAATAGAAATAATGATTTAAGTTTGATTAATTAAAGTAATTGAACAATTGCGTTCTTTTCTTTTATCATAAAATATATTTATTGTTTGTAAGATATAATTAGAAATATTATTTTGAGCTACGATTAAAACAAATAAACTATAAAAGGGCATGGTTTCATTTCAAAGAACTAAATAATTGCTTTTCTACATAAATATGATAAAGATAACAGCAAGCTAAACAGTTGTTATTCTTACAGTATAAATGTGTAATATTAGCAAGATTTAAACATAACATACTCTTCTATTGGTTTTATATTTTTAATTGAATGATATGCAAAAAATTTGAACGCAATTAACCATCTGCATTACAGAGCATCAAAAGCACTATAGTTATATACATTGACTGTCTGAAACCTTGTGAAAACTAGTATTTGCTCAACATTTATTTTATATAATAAAACTTTATTAAAAAGATTGTTTAATACATTACGATGAAGTTTTTTTGATGTTTTATAAAACTAATTGTTTCTGTTGACTGAACGTGTCTATATAGATCGATAGAATGCATTAAATATCATAGAACTTTATTTTGTACTTAAAAGTTGTTATAAAATTCTACAAGTACTACAAGAAAAATAAATAAAAACATGCTGTTTTAATGTTTTTTTAGGAAATTAATTCATCTTGGTTATCATATCTCGTGAAACTATTGTTTATATAATTCCAACGTACAGTTTTGCTGAACCACCCGAACTAGATGATCTTAAACGTTGAAACCAGAATGAAATAGTATATATTCGCCCGATAATTGTCGAAAATGATTGAACAAGATAATCAATACTACTGCGACATTGACTCTTATAACAATTACTTGACAGTCGACAATTACTAGTATATATAGTTCCTCCATCACCACTACTACATGTACTTTTACACCAAACACTCCATCCAGTAAGTGTTGTTGATGAGTTTTCAAAATCTGAATTTTTAAGCAACTCCACAGATGTGTCAGTGATATCAACAACAGATACACCGTCGATCATTATATACATTTCAGCAGAGGCATCTACTCCAAATATGAGTATTGGAAATGTAGTCGTTGATGTGTAATTATAAATATATTGAGTCCAGTTTGTTACAGTATCAGTTTCATATTTAGCCACCGACTGAGGAGGCGGTGAAGTACATGAAAATGCTATAATAAATATTTATGTATATATATAGATTGAAGAAACTTTAAAATAATTAGCTTACTTGTTGTTGATGGACTTGTTGTAGTAGTTGTTTTTGCTACAAAAATAATTCAAAAACTTTCATATAATATCAGAAGTTTAAATTTCTGTATTTAATACAGAGGAACAAATATATATTCATAATTGACTTACTTGTACTTTCTGTTGTCGTTGTTGACGTGGAAACTAAAAATAAGAGAGTAATTATCGTGACAGAATTTATATTCAGATTATGCATACTTATGGTAGTTATCGACGTAGTACTATCTATATAAGAAATAGAACAGTAGTTAATAATATCTATATGTAAATTTACTTAGAGACGATGTAAATATGGATGAAGATGTTAATATTGTAGATAAAGTTGAAGTTGATAGTGAGGTTGATGTTAATGATGCAGTTGTGCTTGATATTGGAGATGATATGGAAGTGGTTTCAGTCGTTATTGTTATCGTAGTTGTAGCTATAAAAATTGATTGAATTTATATAAGGATTTCAACAAATTTAAAAAACAATATGATTTAGTGTTAATTTTAACATAACTATAAAAAACTGTACTCTTCGAGATTTTTATATTTTCGATAAAATGAAAATATGAACTTACTAGTCTCTGTCGTAGTAGTCATTGCTGTTATTGTTGATGGAATGGTTTTTTCTATTTAGTGTCAATATAATACACAAAATAATGAATTCAAATAAAAAAAAACCACGCACTTTGTGTTGCAACAATTGCAACAGCAGTAATAATAGCGAAGAGTAAACATGTAATAATAGCTGTGCATATCAGAAAACCAAATCGACGAATTGAACGCTTCCTGTCAACAGAAATTTAAATTAACAAAGAATTTTTCTATTGAATTATCTATAAAATTATGATTTGTTAATATTTAATATGACTATTAAAAAAGTGGAAGTCTTATGCTATAGATATATGTGGAGTACACCTACCTGTTAGAATTTTTCTTTTGATTAAGTTTCTGATGAACTTTGATCGACGATAAATCGATTTCTGATAGTATGGCTCTCTGTCGAGAAAAAGTGACTTTTAGCGATGACTAGAAAAGTATACACAAATACAATAATACTTTAGATAAGCATGTAATCTTACCTGCGAAATACGATTATTATGAACAGCAATATCCTATGGAAAAAGAGAGATTATACTTTTTATAGAAGTAAATACTGGATAAATCACTGTATTTTGAGAATTTCTGTTTTCACTGTTACGCTCGATAGATACACGTTTACTCTTCTTCGGATGGCGGATACGACGTTGAACAGTGATCACTGGATGTTTTGCCCGCTGCATCGAGTACTTTATTTTTTCGATAATATTGTATAATGAAGCAAATATTCGTTGTTTTACTCGAATACTTTGTCATAAAATAAGAAGCTTTCTTTTATTTATTAACTTTTGTGTAAACACACTTCTATTATTTAGGATTTCATTGTCTGCTTCTGTTTACAGTAATAATACAAACTACCAAAAACAAAAATAAAGAAATACAGGTTTTAATTAACATCTAGTATTATTATCCTATTTATATTTAAATTTTTTCCTCTTTGGTTACCTATAAATAAACAATGTAAAAAAAGAAATGTTAATGAAAAAGAATACCTTATATTTACGGACAAAAAAAAAGGTATTTTTAAATAAATCAGATGTCTAATTTATCAATATAAGAAATAATTTCTACAGTATATTCTAATATATTTGTGTAACGATGAATATCTTCTACGAATTATGCTTTGCATTGTGATAGATTTACTTTGTTAATTCTGATTATTGATAATTAAGTGAACGAGGAAAATATGCGAATTTACTCATACATTAAGAATTCGTACACGTACTTTACTATTATTTTATAAAACAATGATTCGCTAGTTATTGAACACTCTGTTAAGTGTCAATTAATAAATTTATTCATCTTTTACATTTAATCAAAAATTCAATACAAAAATAGCTAGATGTACATGAAAAAAGACTTAAATATTTTAATTACACATTTAATTTCACATATAATTTTTAAGATATTTTGAACTAATAGAAATCATAAACAAATTCACAGATCGTTGTTACATTTTTAAAATGATGATTGAATGACACCCTATCATTGCTAAACTACACCGTTAGCAAAAAAGTTATTGAACGAATGAGATATGTAAGCGAAGCGCACCATTGATACTTTCATTACCAAGTCAAATATTTGTAATAAATATTTATATAATCCACCGTAAGGTTTCTTCATCATCTCGACATATGTATCAGATTTGTTATTATATATTACAGTCAGCTCGCGAATAATAAGTCACAAAATAGTGATAGGACTGCGAAGCCGACAGTGGTTTATCCAGCGGGAGGCGGGGGCACGGGGCTTTTTGCCCACTCGAAGGGTGCCCCTGCCCCCCCCCCCCGGAATTCAGAAAAATTACGCTTTTTGAGTCTGAAACTCTACGTTTGCCACCCCCAGAAGAGAGATTTTTGTCCTCCCGGCAGTTAATTTCGCATCCTCGGACGAGAAAAGCTAGATAAAACACTGGAAGCCGAGCTCCTATCTTTCATTTTCAGATTTTCAGTACATGATTTAGTAGAGTTTTAGCTGCTAATCACGAATATCAACTTTTTAGCCTTAGCAAATACTTTCTGCCACTCGAAAAATATGAAAAACTTGAAGCAAGTCGTTTTTATTAAAAATACGTTCTTTTCAAAGTATAATATTTTTTCTTAGTTAGTTCTTTTAGTAAACTTCTAAGAACATCTATTTCAGATTCAACATTAAAAACTGAAAAAAAAGTGCTCTTGAATCGACTGTACGTTAAAAAGTCTATTGATGGTGACGCTTCTAATTTCCTCGACTCTACCACGTATAGATTCATTTTGAAAACTTTTCTAGGCTCAGTGTGTCATGCTAAATAAGAAAAAAAGAATTCCAAAATCAAAAACAGAGAATAAAATCAAAAAATTTGCAAATTTCGCGACAAGATGTGTTTTTCTCAAAAAGCGACATTCCCTGAGTATTTCACAATTTTCGACCAGAAAGGAGATCTTGCTACGGTTAAAAAGCAGATATTCGTGATTAGGAGACAAAACTATCAGATGACGTAAAAAAAAGGTAAAAAAAGAATTTTACTTGAAGTTTGAATTGACTGAAGCTGACGTACGATGAAAATAAGCAAAATAATGCCACATACACAATTAGTTGCTGAAGTAAGAAATTATTATTATCTATATATTTTTAGTAAAAATTTAAACTATGATTATTTTAGGTAACTCATCAATTAAAAATATGTTTTATGCCTAGTCCTGACTTTATTAAAAAACGCATTGAAAATTTAATGGATATAACATTTACTTTTAGTTTGTTTAATCTCATCAATAAAGCAAAATGATATATTTTTATTATAAAAGAATTGACAAAAACATGAACAGAAAACTAAGGAAATAAGTTGTTATCATGTTTGTTAGAGTAATATAAATTATCCTGAAGAACTCTACATAGTTCAAGTTGTTTAATAATTGAATAAATGTTATCGTTAAATATTGGTATCAGTTTATAAACGATGAAATATATGAGAATAAGTTAAAAGTTATTTGTAAATAAAATATAGTTTATTAACGAACAGCAATTATAGTTGTACGGATTATTCAGCTACAATTACTTGAGCATGTTCTTCTTTCGACGTATTCGGACTAATTACTAAACTTCTTCGACGTCTACGTGACTTAAAATAATCTTTTATAACTGATCGTTTTAACCAAACAAATAATAATAAAGATAAAATACTAATAACACCAAAAGTTAAGAACAAACCACCCAATGATTCAACTGTCATCGCCGTACCGCTATCGACTGTTTGAGAACAATCACCTCCCTCAAACCATTTTGTCCTCAAACTATCCAAAACACCTTGTTCTCTTAATGACAAGAGATTTACATCTAATTCTTTTGCATAAATCCAATCTTTTTGATAAACAATACCAAATGCACTTGCATCAAAATCAGCTCCAACTAAAGTTAAATTACAATAAATATGAGTAGTTGCATATTCTGAAGGACCAACATCCATAATTGATGCATCAATGGCTCCACTTAATAATTTATCATACACTTCTGTGATAGATGTTAACGAATAAAAGTTTCGACTACCACTGGATACTTCTTGTAAATAATAATCTTCATCCGATGAACCGACAAGAATACCAATACGACTAAATGGTATCTTACCATTTTTAATATCATCGATTCCACTAACGACAGTTTGCGATTTTTGTATTGTTAAATCAGATGCTAAGTTAGCTGTATAAGCTGCCAGTAATATTAAACTTAAAATATATAAGCCAATAGTTAATAATCGACCAGCAGCTGTTGTAACATTAAAATCCGGTGCACATGCCATTATGGTAGCCATCGAATACCATGTAGACATTGCACCCGCAGATATAACTGATCGATCTTGTAATGCTTCATTATATGGACGTTCTATTAAAAAGATTAAAATACTTGCATATATTACAGTACCTAAAATAGTTAACCAAAGAGTACGTGAAAATGGTTTTAA